CTGTGACTACATTATGAATTGACTTTTGTATATATTTTGATCTGTAGATAAAATTTCATTTAAACATGTAGCTCAATCTGTAGCTCAATTGGGGTGTGACTAACAGTAAAAATTAAGCATAGAGTATTCAGTGTCATGTTATGATACACGTATGTTGTGAAATGAATTTCAAAAGACATTTATTGTCTGACATAGTTACCTGTGTGTATGTGTGTGTGTATGGTGAGAACATTTGGGACCTGCGGTCTTAGCCAATTTCAAATTTACAGTAAATACATTATCACTAACATAGTGTGCCTTTACCAATATCACCTCTGTTCCTTCACATTGTAACTCTTTATTAACATTATGGTATTCTCTTTGAATATGGAATCCAATTTTTAAGATACTGAATATTAATGAGGCTTTAAATACTTGTCTCTCCTGTTTTTAGGTTATGTTAAAAGTCTTGTAGGTTCAGCCATGTCATTTCAAACACGTTTACCTGTTATTTAGAAGGAAGAGTATTCCATTACCTACGCATACACACTTAATATTATATTTTCTTTGTTTGTTGACTGATACTTAGACTATTATGAATTATACAGCAGTTAACAGAAGAATCAGATATATCTGAAGGCATACACCTATTCCAATAGCAACAGCTGTTGTCTCCAGAGATGAATTATTGACCATACGTTGATTTCATTTTTGGTTTTGTGAAGTACCATGGTACTGTTTGCCAAAAGAACTGCACTAATTTTCATTTTTCCAGCACTTTGCATAAATTCCTTTTTCCCTACGTCCTCACCACTATTTGATAGGATTCAGGTTTTTACAGTGGCTAATCTCTTTTAACTTGCATTTTCCTAAAAATGCGACAAACTGAAATGTTTTTGTATTTTATTCTGTTTTCACATCTCTTTTTCAAGGAAATACATGTTAAAATATCTTATTCTTTTTCATATGGTTGCTGTCTTGCTATTTGGTTCTTTATATACTGTTCCTATTATCCCAGTAGCAGATACATGGTTTACAAGTATTTTACAAGTACTACAAGTCTGTGGGTTAGCTTTTATCTTTGTTAACTGTTTTATTTGATGTGTATAAATTCTTTAGCTAAATTCATATCTGTTTGTAGAGCTTTGCTTTGTTGTCTATGTTTTCGAAGTCCTAGCAAAAAAATTTGCCAAGAGCAATGCCACATAGCACCCCTTATTTTTCTACTGATTTGCATGTTAGTATCAGTTAATAGTTTCAAGTCATAGCTTTTTTGGTTTCATTAACTGTAAGTTTAATTTTTGCGCATGTTGTAAGATAAGGGTCAATTTCATTCCTCTGCTTGTGGCTATCCAATTTTTCTAGCACCAATTACTGGTATCCTTTACCCCTAGGATATTTTTACCAACCTAGCTGCAGACCATGTAACTTTAAATACTTGAATTAATTTCTGAACCTTTAATAGTCCTCCACTGGTTGACGTCTCTTTCTATCAAGAATTATGTGCTATTTTATTTATAATTGCTTTATAGCATATTTTGATCCCAGAGAGTGTAATAACTTCCCCCCCCCCCAGCTCTTTTTACTTAAAATTGCTGTGGTAATATATTTGAATCTTTTAAAATGTCAGGATTATTGTCTTGTATTTCTGTAAAAATGAATGTGAAATTTTAATATTGAATTGCATTTAGATATCACTTTTGTTATCTTGAATATTTTAACAGTATAAACTCTCCCAATCCATTAAGATAGCATATTTTTACAATTCCTTATGTCTTCTTAGGTTTCACTGGAGTATGCCTTCTTTGTTTTTTGTTACCAAGGATTGAACTCATGACCTTGCACTTGCGCTGCTGAGCTAAACCTTCGTCCAATTATGTTTTTGTTGTAGAGACCTTCCACTTTTACTTCTTTTTTTTTAAACTGGGGATTGAACTCATGAGCTAGCACTTGCCAGACAGGTTCTTATGATGCTAAGCTAAATCCTCGGCCCCAAACTTCTCAATATGTTTGATGCTGTTATAAATAGGATCTTTTTTTCCCTTAATTTCTTTTTTGCATATTTCACCGTTACTGAACAGAAATGTCACTGACTTTTGCATAATGATTTTGTAACCTGTAGCTTTTTTGAATTTGTATATTAGTTCTAACATTTTTCTGGTGAAGTCTTTAGTGATTGTTTTAAAAATAAGATCCTTTAATTGGCAAGCTGTCATACTTCTTCCTCTCCTTTATAGAATCCTCTTCTTTTTCTGACTTCACCACTTTGACCAGTGCTCTTGAGTGCTAAGTTCTGAGGTACTGGCAGTGTATCTTTGTCTAGTTTTTGATTTTGTGAGGAAAGCTTTCAGTGTTTGGTCTTTAGTATGATCTTAGCTGTAGGCCTATCAGATATGGCCTTTATAATGTTGAGGTTAACTCCTTTTATAGTTGTATTCTGTAAAGTATTTTGGTAGAAATTGTAATTAATTTGTAGATTACTCTGTGTAATATGCATATAGAGATAATTTACTACTCACATAGTATGCATATAAAGATAATTTATTTTCTGCTCTTCAAATATTGTCTGTTTTTTAATTTATTCCTTAGTTACCCTGGCAACCAGATCTTCCTAAATGGTATTAGATTGTAATTGCAATAGTGTATATGTGTATCTCTTATCAACTTATAATATAAATAGCTCATATTCCAGTACCATCTAAATAATTTTCCTTTGTTTTTGCTTTTAGTTTCTTTTTTTCTTAGCATTTTTTTGCCATACAGAATTACATTCATCCTGGGGATATAGATAGATAGATAGATAGATAGACAGATCCATAAAAGTTGTCTTTTCTTAGTTTGCTGACTTTTATGAGAAATAGATGTTGGACTGTACTATGCAACTTTTAAAAACATCTATAAACTTTTTGGTGTATTATAAATTTGAAAGATTCTAGTGTTTCCTAATTAAAAAATCATTGGCTTGTTTGAATAATATCAACTTGCTTAAATTTGATAATTTTTTATTTTACCATCAAATTTTTCTATTTTACTACAGAATTTCTACATATGAAATTATATTATTCCATAATTTCTCCATTAATTTTGAATTGCCTTTGTCATATTTAAGTATCAAAATTATATACAGCAGGTACAAAGAGATACTTTCTGTATTCATCATTTCAGAACAAAGTCATAAGGAACATTCACTTCTGGAAAGTTGAAACAACTTGACAAAAAATTGTGTTACTGAGAATATTTGAATTATTTTGTAGTGGAATTCATTTATTTCTATACAGATTCATTCATATTTCTATCATTTATTTGTGTGCTTTCAGTAAAATGTATTGTTTGAAATGGAAGTGTCATTTGCTAAATAAGTCTAAAAATGGGAAACATTCAGAAATGTTATTTCTCTCTGGTTTTCATCTCAGGAGGACTCCTGTTAGTTCCATTTGTTTTGAATTGTTATTCTTATTTGTATGATAGTGGGATTTCCACACTGCTTTCTCTCTCTCTGCTTTTTTTTAAAGTTTTCATGGCATCTGTGTGCCAGATCTTCTGGTTCATCCTTTAAAGTTTCACCTTTCAAAGCAATTTTGTTTTAGATGTGTCTTTTTAAATTAACATCAAGTTATGTATTTTTGCACTTTTTATTGAAGTAAAGGAATTTACAAAAAAAAGTAAGTGTTAAAGATCCAACAGTTATTACCTAGGTATGGATGCAAAATATTACCATAATTTGGAAGCCCCATTCTGTCCTCTTTTAATACTACCTTGGCAAATGTACTATTATATTGACTATTAACTCTACAGTAATTATTTGCTTAATCAGTATGATCTAATCTTGCACAATCATATATTAAATCATAAAGTAGATTCTGAGTGTACACTTTTTTCTTTCAACAATTTCTATGTGAGGCATATCCCCCGTGTGGTTGCATGATGTAATATTTTTCATTCATTTTTGTTGTTGGTTAATATGCCTTTCAATAAGTGTATCAGAATTTATTATTTGGTATTTATTAACAGTTGATTCGTGTTTGGAGGTAAAAATAATGTTTCAAGGAAAACTGTAGCACAGGTATTTTGGTTCGAATGTTTATACTTTGCATGTGTAGTATAATGTACTAAGCAATGGACTCCTTTCTCTGATTAGTATTAGTAATGATACAAGCTTGATTAATGAAAAGATCTTGGATATTCTAAAAATTGATTTTGTGGTTTTACAAGTACACAATTACTATATGGGAGTTATATTTAATATTCTCAGTAATTATTGATTCTTCATTTTCCTCTATTTCACTGCATTCCCATAATATGCAGTTGTATTTTCATTTAAACATGCAATGCACTGGTTTGTTGTCAGACCGAGCATTTTTATTTTTCATATATCTGTTAATCAACTGAATGACATTACTGTGAAGCAGTTGTTTATATGGTTTTTCTCATATTTGTAATATTTTTATCTTTTTCTTAATATTATGTAGAACTTTTTTCAGTAAGAATGAGTCATTGGATAGGTATATGTATTAGTATTGTAAATATTTTTCAAATTCTATTTTATATTTACTTTTTCTAAACATGTTTTTTGATAAATAAGTTATTGATTGATTTAATTTATCATTTTAATGATTACTTTTCTTTCTGCTGTTTAAGGAATCGTTTAATTTCCCAAAGTCCAAAAGTGGTTTTACCTTCTCGTCTAAGCCTTAAGGTATCATGCAGTGTATTGGGGGGTGTTAATTTGCTCCCATTTTTATGACATTAGAGATATCTCACCACATCAAATCTAGCAATTATAAGAAAAGTCTGTGTTTATTATTCTTTCAGACATTATACAAAGTAAGTATATAAATCAAGCCCAAATCTCAGGTAAATTGAAGGGTATTTCACCAGCAAGAGTTAGCTCTCCAGTATCTGACAGAGAAAATAGGGAAGAAATAGTGCAGTAAGAACAAAAGGAGATAAAGGTTACAGTGATAATATTTACAGACTAAAACAGGACTTCTTCTGAATTCTCTTCACTATTTTGTTAACAGGTATTATTTCCTCAAGAGGAAAAAAAATCCTTGGAAATTAAAGAGAAGACAGAATAATTTCAAATGGTTACTTCTTCCTCAATCTCACCTGTACCTCAATCTTGAGTCCCTTATAGTTTTGGGGAATTAACAGCAAAGTTACAAGTACTACTGCATAGTATTTTATTTAGGTGCCAACTGTTTATGGCATCTAGTCTCTAACAGTTGCTAAATCATTTTCATAAGAAAACTGCTTAAAGAAAGCCTTCTATATCAGTACAACATGGTGCCATTTGAATATTATGATCAATACTTTCTACCATTAAATCACTCTTACCACCTGGCCAAAACCAATTCATTAACACATCAACACAATGCTAAAAAATTAAATCAACTCAGTAACCAACCTGTGTCCAAAGTGCAATCCTATAGAAATAGTCTTGCAACATCTTCTTTAAACTATAACCAAGCAGTCCAGAGCTGTTCAGGATTGCCTTCTCCTAAGTCTCAAGGAAAAATTTCACAGGGCCTCAATAACAGGGCTACAAAATCAAGGTTATCCCTCTCTAAATGTTCAGTCAATCCTACACAATACCCCTGGAGAAATTCATTGCATCCTACTGAGAAAGCCTTGAACTCAAACTTAGCACACTGTAAACCACAGACAACATCTTCATCTGACCTTAACAAGACATCATCATCATTGGAGCCAAGTCAGACAAGCCTGAGCTCGCAATTACCCCTCCCCAAATTTCAGACTACATCTTCAAACCTAGACTTTCACTGGACGTCACCTTTACTACAGTCTAAACAAAAAGTTTCTCATTCATTATCTCATCTTCAGCACCAAGAAACACCTCTGCTAAATATCATGTGGGCGTCTTCTTTGAGACCCAGTCTGAAAGCAAATACATCATTAGTTCAACCCAAACCTCAGAAAACATCTCCACTGGATTGTTTTTGGACATCATTATTGGTTCACAATCAAAGATCTTTGAGCTCACCATCACTTGATACCAAACCTCAAACAAACAACCTTCTTCAGACATCTCATTCATTTGAGTTCATTCCTATGGCTTTAAATTCACCAGTGGAGGAATCTAGACCTCCAAAAGAGCCTATATTGCTCTCTAACCCCAGCATTCTGAGTTTACCATATTCTCATGTAAAATCGAGGAAATCACCTTTATTGCACTCTGCCCACAGATCTCAGAGTTTATCAGTGTTCAAGCCCAAATCTCAGGCAGTGCTTACACTTGTTCCTGACTTCCAGACCCTCAGCTCACCCCTCTGTCACTCCAAGTTTCAGAAAACCACTTCACCAAATGACGAAGACAGAGCCACAGAACTGCTACCATCTCATCTTCAACCAAATGCTCCAGTCGAGGCATTATCAAGCACCAAACACTGCATCAAGAGGACAGCTGCTTCTACATGGGACTCCAGACTCCAGAGTAAGAGCAGTTTTGATTTTAGTGCAAGGACAGAATCCGATAAAGCAATTCCATGGATTTTGGATTATGGTCACCCCTGCATTGTGAGAGGTGGAAATATCCCCGACCATGTTGTAACCAAAATCATCAATTCTCTCTCCAAGACCAGAATCCAACAGGATCTCTCTAGACAGATTCTCTTTCGAAGAATGAGGGGAAGGCCAAATCCTCGTCCTGGTCCTCGCCTTTCATCAGCTTACACAGTTTGTTTATCTTGTGCTTCCTGCATAAAATCTCCATGTAACCATCTCAGAGGAAAGAAAGATCCTCGTTGTGGAACACTGTTTGTCATACCAACACCTGAGGCCAATTCTGAGGGGAAAATAGAGGTGAAATTACTTCTTGTCCTTACTCTACCAGAGACTTCCTTCTCCCCCACACCCCTCTTTGTGAAAGGACACCAGCTTGAAGATGTTCCCAATGACAACCTGGAAGAAATGGAGAGGATATCACAGTTTTTCCCTACATCTGGATCTGGTACCTTCCAAGTGCTCAGAATGAAGAAAACAGGGTTGGCAACATCCACTGAAAACAGAGTTGTAAGTCAAAAGGCCCAAGCTGTTGACTGGCTGCTTTATGTTAAAAATAATGGTAGCTCGCATTCACAATCCCAGCCCTCAACTCCTTCTTCCTCCTCTTCTTCCTCTTCCTTTTCCTCTGCTACCCCTCCTCCATCCTCCACCTCTTCCTCCTCTGCCTTACCTTCTGCACCTTTTCCTTCCGAAGACCCTACCCCACATCCTCTCTCAAACTGTGTAGTCACAAAGCTACTTGGCAACCACAAATTGCCTCCAGGGGTCTCCTGGCTTGAGTTCATATGTAGTAAAGATTATCAGCCACTTCCTGGAAATCCAAATAAAGAGCAGTCACCACATCCCAAAACAAAGCCTGTGAGGAATGCCACCACAGTAAAAGACACAAAGGGATCAAGCATGCTGCTCAAGTTTTTCCAAGCACAGTTTCAAAAATGAGAAGCCTTGATTAAATTAACTTCCAAAGTCTTTGAAAGCAGACCTCTTAGTTCTTTGAGACTAGTGTTTGATTTTCTATCATGCTTTGGAATAACCTTAGTAAAATCTGTACTTCTGTATTTTGGTTGATGAAAACCTGCTTAAAGAGGGCTATTACTTTTAAGTCTATTCACTAGTAATATAAAGGATTGAATACCTAGAAGCTAATATATGAATCTTATGTTTTTAACTGGATGCTATTTTAAAGTACCCATTATATAATTACTGTCATACAAATTTGTAGTAGTTGCACAAATGCCTCATTCATCTGGCCCTGCATAGTACTTCTCTCATTGTTATTCTCCTTCCCCATAAGATATGATAATGATGGTATTCTAACCTCTGTTTCACTAATCATTTTTCCTGGTGTGAAAGAAAATTCAGCTCATATACAATAGGTGAGAAATATATGGAAAAAAATCTTTCCTATTATGTATTCTTAGAAAAATTATTCTAGTCAATATTATGTACTCCTAGAACTAATAAATGTGATGGCCACAAGTACCAGAATATCTCAAACTCACATCAGAACTGGTATTGGTATAGGCTAGATGAGTGTTTTCATGGGGGTGTAGGTCTCTGTCTAATGCCAGGGCAACCGTGGAGGCTTTATCTGCATGAGGTTAGCTGTAACGTCTGAGATTGTAGGAAGCAGTGGTAGTGGTAATTATTTGATTCCCAAGCCTCATGCTATGCTGGGTAGCAACTGAATCATTTCTACCCTAAGAATCTATGCAGTCTCATAGTAAAGGTTGTAGTCCATGACATAGACTAGACTGATAATGATGCAGCAAAAGCATAAATATATCCCACTAGGCTGTCCCATCTATTACAAGAGCAGGTCTCCTGATTCTGTCAGTGAGCTCTGAACTGAGTTTGGGGTCTTTGTTTTCTGCTTGGAACTCTTTTTTCACAATGACTGGCACTAAACTTCGAGACAAAATCCCTTACTTGCTTTGGTGTTTTGATCTCCAGGTGGAGTCTTGCTTCCCTTTCTGCTGCTCCAGGTAGGGTGTGAGGTGGTGACCATCTTACCTTACTGAGCACTTGGAGTGTTGTTTCAGCTCTAAGGCTTGAACTTAATTCTGTTTCCATTCTCCAAGCAGGAGCTCTCTCTCTCAGCTTTTGCATTGCATATATTTGAGGGAGGCAAGCTGGGAGCAACTCCTTTCCGATTATACTCAATCCAGGCCATGTCTCTTCTCACTGGATTTTCTTAGCCCTTGTGAAGAGAGTTTGATGAATAAATAGCTGTTCACATTTATGTGTCTACAGAAGGAAAATTGTTGGAGGATTTATGTCTGTTGCTGTCATATTTGACAGTTCTTCAACATCTTTCATTTTTAGCATAAATATTGCTAACCAGTGCCTCTGGGATACAATAAGGTTCTTAAGTATGTGCACACAATACTTTTATAATCACAAATTATTTTGTTCTTTAGCTTTGAAAAGTACATTTAAAAAGCCCTTCTGATATATTCTTTAGGATCATTTGTTTATTGTGTATTAGATTTTTTTCCTCTTTTTAATATAATTCATCTCAGTTCTCTGTTGTTCCTTTTTCTGAACTGTGGAAATCATTGCAAGATACTTTTTGCATCAGTAATTCTGTTTTATCACTTAGGTTGTTGTCTCCTACTAGAGTTTTAACAGTGCCTTTGTATTGTTCCTAGTCTCCTTGCATTAATTTAAAGTTTATTTTGAGCAAGAGAACATTGCTCCAGGTTTCAGATTGCTCTCTCTCTCTCTCTCTCTCTCTCCATATATATATATATATATATATATATATATATATATATATGAATATTTAAAAAGTCATTTAAAATTCTGTTACATATTTTTGTCATAGAAAATTTATAAAGATTCATTGATGTGACTTAAAATTTAAATAAATGCAAACCACTGTCCATCCAGACGTTCACACATCTCTTTCTTCCTCTGCCTCTTCTTGGAGAAGCCAGATATCCTGCTACTCTTGCTTGCTTATTGCGGTGGTCTCTTTTTCTCTTTAGGGAAAACAAATCCCGTCCTCCTTGCTTCTCTTCTTATTAATCCTTTTCTTGAAACAGAGCTTTCTTTTGTATATGTATTTGACAGCAGCAATGCTTTATCTGTATGAAATTGCAGTCAAATAGATTGTTGAAATGGCTTTATTTTTCTATTTATAGATCCTTTGCTTCTCAGAGTTGGGAAAGATATGGAAGTGTTTATGAAGATTCTACTTATTTTTTGGCATTTACTCTCTATTCATTTTAAGTGCTGGGGGTAAAAGGAACGCAATTTACCTGAGTCTCATCATCCAGTTATTCCACAAGGGGAGAAAGAATTCCTTTGCCTGTCTCTCTACCTGTTTCCAGCTCCCCACAACCTCCCAGGAAAAAAACACAAATGAATCAGTTTCATTTTGTCAAATGGAGTTTGTTTAAACAAAACGATGGCATTTTCTATGAGGAATAATGCTTACTCATGGAATCTGACCTTGGAAAATTATCCCTGTCTAGTCAGTATTTAAAGTAAATGGACCAAGAGTCTGAATTTGTAACACAGGGATCACCAGACCACACCAAAAGAGTTATATAACTTTCCAGGTATAAAATAGTGATATTTTATAAATTAAATACTTCTCACTCAAGGTAATAGCTCAGAAAACATTATTGTAAATCTTACATATTATGCTTTCACAATGAAGAGCATATGTTAGGTGTAGGAAGGTAAGTCCCAGGAGATTTCTGGAATGTGCAAGTATTCTCTCTGCATGGTTTATGACTTGATGGCATATATTTTTGAAAACTTTAATAAACTTTTCTATGAGGTAACATATCTGATAATTTGGTTCTGACATGGCAATCTATTTCTTTGTGAGAACTCAAGTGACTATTATCTGTCAGGTTCCAAATTTTTGCTGGGAACAGAGCTATACAAAACCAATATTACTGTATTTATGGGCTTTGGATTTAATTGAAAGTGATTGACATTTAGTGGTACAATGTATCATAGGACAGATATAAAGGAAAATGATTGCAATTTTTAGTATAAGGACAGAAAGTGATGGATTGGATGTTGTTTGGATTGGAGGCAGCAAATATATTTCTATAAATATTTGAGAGTAATTGTTTTATGGGTTATACAGTCATGTGGCATGTATTCAGGACTGCTGTAGCATAAAAGCAGCCATACAAACTATAAAATATCTAAAATGATTTTGTATGTGTCCCAATAAAATATTATTCACAAAATTTAGTAGCTAACATTTGGCAAATATATTCTCTGATCTGTGTGTTCTTGATTTGTATTCTTGATCTCAGGGTTCTTTTAATTTTAATTATTTTATTTTATGGGAAAAAGTAAAACAGAATTTCATAACAAAATAATAGCAGAATAACAATAGTTAATATAGAGTTTTAGTTAGCATACAAAATAAAGAATTAAAAATTCTCCAAATAATATTATCAAAAACATTTCAACGAACTAAGAGAAATTAGTTGTATAACTATCTTATTTTTTCTCATGATTATACATTTTGGGAAATTCGTTTGATGAACAATCATAGAGCATAAGAGCCTGGATGGATATTTTTCTCTCATAATTTACAATATGGTCCCTTTTTTGTCTTTGGTTTTGTGTATTGAATATGCTTCGTATCTTTAATTGGAGAAGAGGAAGCATCAGGATTCTTAAATTAAAAATTTTTAAAGATGGTGTGTTTTAACTTAGAAGTGGTTTTAAAATTCATTTCATTGACTTTTAAAATGTTAGCAATTTTTAGCTCAATATAGAGAAAGCAAATGGAGCACTAAGGGAAATAGTGGAGTACCGGGTGCCAGGAAAATCAGCAAATAAACAAGACCTCCCATTGTCGTGAAGGAATTAGAGGCAGGCTAGTAGACCAGATTCTTCCATTCTTTCCTATTTTAGTCTATTAAGTTTTGCTAGTCTATCATCTTGCTTTCTGTGAAATACATTTTTCAACTTTTTGCATTTTTTACAATAGGTATGATCTTTATTTTCTTCTCTTCTTTTCTTCTACTTCTCTTCCACCCCTCCTTCTTATTCTTTTGGTCTATTACGATCTATGCAATATTTTATGGAAAAAATACATTAGAGTAAAACTGAGTTTAAACTTTCTTTACTGGCATCTTCATTTCTTTGGAAATATTCATGAATTTGTCTTCTCTTATAGTTTAATGTCAAATTATAATTTTTAAAGTTTCTTTTCAATAGTTGAAGAAAATCTCATTCTTCTCCTATTGCTTTCTTCTCCATAAAATCAGTAAGTAAGTGATTTTCTTCTACAAAGCACTGGTACTGGTTTTCACATTGACAAAGCATAAGGTCGTTAGAAAATTACATCTTTTAATCTTATACATCTAGATCTTTGTACATCTAGAAGGTAAAGTACAAATTTACTAGGATCCTTTCTATAATATCTCTAAATTACAGATTATTGCTAAATCTTCTTCATTTAACTACATATGAAAACTTACTTTCTTTGTGCTTTTGTTTACAACATTTTAAGTTCCTGTGGTATT